CTTATTTTGGGCTAAAAACTCCTGGATCGTGTGTTTCGAATCAAAGCACACCGATCGGAGAAGAAAATGGCACATAACAAGTCTGCGTGCATAGGGTCACAACGATGGCCCAGATCTGTATAGTAATGTCTCATAAACACAATAAAAGCGTTAACATGGTTCAAATCAAAGCAAAAAAATCAAAGTATGCAATATATGATCATCGTGCAACTGGAGCTATAGGCTATGTCATTTTTGCGTGTTTTGGACCATGGAACATGACCCAAACTTACTCTGTGTACCTGCTGAGAGTGAATAAGGAGCTTTTTTGTGATGATAAGGCTTGGAAAACAAGTTTCGAACACTCTAGGTTCTTTGATAAATTTTGATTTTTTAGCAAGCTTTTTGAGGTGAAGAAATCGTGTCCTTAGCATCTAATTTGCTTGCATATATATAGAGAAAGGAAATGACTAATAAAATATGGCATGAGATCAAGCAATCAAACCATGATAAAACCAAAATCAAACATATTGAAAAGTTTCCATTTTTTGAGATATTCTTGCCTTCTTGAACCCTTGCACGAATTTGGCATGTTTCGCTAGGCTGTCATGAGTTTTATGGGCATGTAAATGACTCATCATGTGTTTGGCCCATTTATCTTATACTTCTTTTAATTTATTTTGCATTTATTTGAATAAAAACAAAATAAATGTAAATAAAATAATAATAAAATACAATACAAGGTAGGAGTGAGCTTAGGAGTCTTTCACAGGGTCATGGACATGTTTGAAGCCCAAAAAGTTAGGTCATAAGTCCAAAATTTCAAGTTTGCACATTTTGTATTTCATGCATTTCTTCAAAATTTCCCAACTTGTGAAACTCATAACTTGCTCAATTTTGATCTTTTGAAAGTGATCTTTGACTTTTTGAAAATCTCAAGATGTCCTCTACAATTTCTCCTTTGATCATTTTTGCATTTAGATAATTTATCTTGATGTAAGTTGCCTTAACAAAAAGTGTCTTTTTGTTGACTTTTGAGATGACCTGTAATGTATGAGCTCATATCTTTCAAATGAAGCACTTTTGGACTTGAGCACAAATACAAAGTTGTATAGAATTGAATTCCCTTAAAAATGGGCTTTGGTTGGGGAAAGTTAATGAAGCATGTGAAAGTTATGCTTGGTCAAAGTTTAATTGACTTCTCCTAAGGAAACCCTAATTTGACAATTTATTACCTTTGATGATTTGAGGGCTTTCCTTTAGGAATCATGAACAACCCTTGATCAAATGATGAATATAACTTCAAAATTTTGATTTTGACAAAATTTTTTGAAGTTTGACTGTATGTTGACCATAGTTGACTTTTTACCCAATGTAGTTGATTTTCAATCATCTAAGTCATTGACTGAGCAAACTTGTGATGCACGACTTGAAACTTGACATGAACATTGTTGAGGACCTATGACGAACCATGAAAACTATTTGAGACCTTTGCAACCCAAACTTCCTTGAGGAACTCAAAACCCTAGTTGTAGACCCTTGACTTAAGAGGAGCATCTTGACTGGTCAACTCTTGAGATTCTTGAGTATTTTGAGAACCCTTTAAAAGAATGTTTTGAAGAAAAATGGGAGGGTAAAATTTGGGGTACAACAATATCCCTTTTGGAACTTGTATCAACATTACCAATAATTAGTGCAGCTACCTCAGAAACACTTAGTTGGTTGTAAATTCTTTCATCTTTTGATCTATCAGCTATTAACTTCAGCTTGAAATCAAGTACATGACAATCCTTTAGTCTATCTGTAGCCATTCTAAATGATTTAACGTGTGTGTTGAACTCATCCATCATAACTTTCAATCATCTAACAGTTTCTTCAACAATATTGGGATTGTTACTGCAATATATAAAAAATAGTTAGTATGCATATGTTTCAAGATAAGTAAATGTGATAATATAAAAAACTAAATAAGCAACAAAAATAATGTCATCAGGCTTAGTAAGAATTGATGCTATTAAGAACTGAATCATTACCTTATTCCTTCAATTCTATGTTGAATCTCATTGTCATTATCGTAAATATATAACTGCACAGATATTGGTGATTGTCCAGGAAGAGGTATCATGCTCCCAATTCTATGGAAAGACTGTCCATGTATTCTTATGCTAGGTGGCCCTTTATCCATTTGGATCTATTTGTCAAATTTTATTTCAGGAGAAGTAAAGCCAAACATAATGTTGTACAGTCTTCAATGCTGCTAGTAATTCTTACAGTTTATATCATTTTTATCAAACAATAGATGTTTGAGTAACGATGGTGGTGTTTTCAAAAGTGGCAACACAACTTTTCCATTTCCATATCATAATTGGAACTTGGGAACTGCACTATGTTTACATTTTCCAGTCTTCTCTCGATACCACATAAGTGCTCCACAATGTATGCATTCAATTGCAGGATCACCAATGTTAGAATACCCTATTTAAATCAAACAAAACAAAACTAATCATCATAACTAACAGGAAGTATACATATTTTATGACTTCCAAGTGAAACTGGTCTTGAAGCATGTGTTTTTCAGAGGCATAAAAGTGTAATCAATTGACGTAAAATTTAATATAATGACATGTAACATAATTGGGACCATTCACCGGTGTAGAATTGGGATCATAGTCTTCTTTGTCATCCGTACTTGAACATTTGTCATCGTCTGCATTTTTATTTATGAATTCGCATGAACTATCGCTGAATGATTCATCTATTGAACATTCTTCAAAATATTCATTACTTTCAATGTTAGCATTTGTATTAGTAGGTAAATTAATTATGGATGAAGAGGCACGTCCATGATCAAAGTTTGAAAAGGTATTGAAAAGATTGGCAGTCGCCGATTGAATGACACCAACATTCAACTATTTTTTAGATGAAAAGACAGATCCACTTGGTTGTGCATTCAAATTTTTGTACATTTGATTAGACAATGAGGAAGTTATACCACTTGGAGCTGTATTTGTATTTAAACTAAGTGGAGAATTGAACAACACATGACCACCTCTTTTGTTGACAATATTTTCACGATGTCTGCCTGTCACATTAAACTTCTGTTGAATAAGGAACTTCCTTTTTTGCCTTGCAGACACAACACCATGTTTTGGGGACAAACCAATCTCAATAATGGTTGATTTGGAGCTGCCTGACGCAGAGGTTGCTGTTTTGAGATTAAATATTGGTGAAGAAGCATAATGTTGATTCTCCAAACCAAAATGTTTAAAGAGATTGGATGACACACACTGATTCACACCCACGTTCAATCTTTGTGCATTTGACATAACAATTCCAATTGCTTTTGCATTACAATTCTGGTTTCTATCATTCATCACTGCATGAGTGATATTAGATAGTGGTATTCTTACATGAGTTCTGGATGGAGGATTGATGTTATTAAAAGATAAGTTGTAATTCATTTTGTTCTCATCAATTTTGTTCCTTTTCGATCTTTTTTCTTTAAAAATTTACTTTCTTTTATGTCTTGCTAAGGCTGCAAATTTTTTCCTGAAAAAGTTTTGTAATTCCATAATTATTGGAGAACTCAGACTAACAACAATTTGAAAATCTAATAACACGTAATTTAACATTAATTTGCAACATGTAAGTCGATGCATGTTTTGACTGTCATGAACTTGTGTCGGTTGTATGATGTGTTTAATTCATGGCTTACAATAATAGATATTGTAAATATTATGTATCTATATATCTATTAACATTTTTTTACATTTTGATTTCAAGAAGGTAAAAGTAAATCATCAAGTAAAAACAATTTACATCGTATATGCCAAACATCCATAACAGTAACATAATTTTTAATAGCATTTATTTCTAGATTTATAGATAGGATTATTATACAAATCCACTGCATTGAAACACAATACTAAAGTATTATAAATTTTAAGGTCATCATATAAATAAAGTGAACCATTAATATATTACCAAAGCTATGCAGCTATTATATAATAGAAGATATTTTCATTTAACGTTAACTCTACTATACAGTTAAAGGAGGTTAAAGTAAAAAGTTAATGGTTGTAGTGTTTCAAAGCTAGGCTTATAACAATGTATTGTAAGCTTTGAGGACATTATTAGTTACCATGTGTAATAAGTAAACACATAGGGGTTTGTTTTTGAATTGGAATATTAACACAATTTACATTTACAATTGGATATCAACTTGGCTGACACGTTTTATGTAACATTATCATAGTTAAGAGTATCTCTATTAGAGTTTTTTTAACTTGGTTCATCAGTATGGATTGTAAAACAATACTACCTTTTTCAACAAAATATCATTGGAGTTGGACAACATGACGAACAAAATATCATTGGAGTTGGACAATATGACGGACCATTGCATCACGATGTAATGTTGTTTCGATTATAATAATAATAAATATAAAAAATAATTAATTTTATAAGTTTTATTTTATTTTATTTTTATTCTTTTTATGTTATTTTAATAATTCTTTTGCTTTTTAAATGATGATAATTTAAATTTTTTATATTGAATATTTAAATTATAAGTTTAATTTGAATTTTATTTATTTTATATCAATTTTAATTTAAATAATTAAAATTATTATTTTAAATGATATAAAATTTAATATAAATAAAATATTAATATATAAAGTAAAGTTGTGGGACCTAATATGAATTTTTTAGAGTTGCACCATTGAAATAAAAAACTAGTTGAATTGCTTCAAGATGAAGTGGCTTAATAGGTCCCGCAAGGAACCCAAAAATGGGTTCATAGTTGAAGATACTCTTATGGTCTCAATAGTTTCATCATTATTATCTTAGGTTACATCAAATCAACCAAAGATCTTTAACCATTTTGAGAAGCAACCCAAACATGTCTGTTTCTTGCTTTATATGAAGAATTATATTGTAGAGTTATTCATTACCTTGCAACTGGTTCATATCGTAAGCAAAAAAATTCTCATACCCAAAAGAAACTTTTGATATTCTTGAAGATGTCTTCTCCCACTTTGAAAGGGTAAATTACAATAAATGACTCAAAATTATATTTATTCCGTTAGTTTTTATATTTCATGGACTGTGTAAAGTAGTGTTATATTGATTTTGATATTTATTGGTGAACAGATTTGTCCCACTTGACACCAATAAACTGTATGGGATGCTTGAAACTATGGTGAAAGAAGAAAATGAGTCTACTAACAACGTTTCAAATGAAGAGTTGTTTCCTGAGATTAATGTAATTGGTACCAAATCCAATGCTACACTGAAGGAAGTAAAAAAAAGAGATAAAAGTCAGAGAATCTTCGAATGCTATTAACAATGTTAGAAGCCTGCAGAGAGACATCTTTTGGGAGAAAAACATCAGCAAGGCAGGGAAAAAAGGGAATTGAGTTTTGGTAAGCGATTTCCTTAACTAATGTTTCAAATAACAATTCAACATGATAATTGGTTCTGATAAATGTGACTGTAGTGTTAACAAAACTATGCACTGATTACATGTGTTCATGCAGTAATTCCCAGCATAAGTGATCAAAAAGGCTCTTCGTCTGGACATAACTTCGTGCACTCTACTAGATCTCGAAACGTATGACGATTATAAATGTACAATCATGAAATCAAATAGGCAGAATATGGAGATGTATCTTGGAAAAGGGTGGTATTCATTTGCTAAGGAAAAAAACTTAGGGTTGGATATAAATTAATTTGTCACTATAATTCAGAGGAGGAATGTCTGAATGTGAGGGTAAAAAGGCATGGTCAAAAGAGCCATACTTGAATTCGAAGTTGTCATTTATGTTATATGTTTTGTTCAAACTTTGATGTTAACTTTAGTTTTGAATTTAGGCTATTGCATGAGTCATCTGTAATGTTTTAGTTTATGTTGTTGTTAGTCATTTGAATTTTTAGTTTATTAAGTACGAACCCGCTTGAATGATGGTAGAAATATGTAATTTACCAGTTTGATTGACTATATAAATATGTTTGCGTTTGTTTCCAACTCTTTCTTCTTACTGAAAATTATTTCAAATAGTAATAAAAATCACATATGACATATGTTACTATATAACTTATGTTAATTGTCCTGTGTGAAAGTCATTTTAACAAACTCTATTATTAAGTCTAATGAGGGAACATACCTGATACTATGCATAAATGAATAGAATCCAGATATATCACAACATTCTACTTGTCTTATGTATATGACAACATGGATTTGAAAAATTGTGATTGTTTATTTGTTTGGATAATCAAAGTTGGATTCAAGAAAATATCAACCTGCAGACAAAATTAAATACTTAGGACAATTTATAATTTGTAAGGGTCTATTGAGTTTGGGTATACATCTTTACGAATTATTGAAGAAACTTATGATCTAATAATTGTCTTTGGTCCTTTAAAAAGACCTCGCCAATATAACTTGGAGAAAATGCACTTGTGTTTCCACACACCTTTCCTTTAATAATTTGCAAAAACTAAAATCCAAAAACAATTATGAACCTCTTAAATCAAACCATAGTGTGCACACATGAATATGAAATTTGATAATTTAGTTGCAACAATATTCTTTATTTTGTAGTATATGTATCAATATACTTTAAAACATCAACTAGTCATTAATGTTGTTTTTAAACTTGGACATGTTAACATGACCAACCCTAAACCCTATTCTGAAGAATTTGTTATCTCAATGGATTCCAAATGACATGGTTTCAAAATCGTATATGGATTACAGTTTCAAAACCTTTTTTTTTGTATAATTCTTGTATGGAGAAGTAAGATATTAACATGCATTGATGATATACTTAGAACCATATACAGTTCACCAATGTTTTCTTTTAAACAATCAGCTCTTAACATGACCAACCTTATTTTTTCTGCAGTATATGTAGCTATGTATCTCAACCTTATATCAGATGGATTAAGTTTGATTGATTTCATATGTTTTGATCATATGCCCATATCTTGTATGAATGTTGCTATTTGATAATTACATAAACTGGTATATTCTTTATTATGCAGTATATGTATCAATATAGTTAAAAGTTGTGGCTTTTCATTAATGTTGTCTTTCAAATTTGATCATCTTAACATGACGAACCCTAAACCCTATCCTGCAGAATTTGTTATCTCAATGGATTCCAAATGACATAGTTTCGAATCATATATGGATTACAGTTTCAACACCTTTTTGGTTTGTATAATTCATGTATGAAGAAGTAAACTATTAACATGCATTGATGATATACTTAGGACCATAAACACTTCATCTGTGTTTTCTTTCAAACAATCAGCTCTTAACAGGACCAACCTTATTTTTTTGGAGTATATGTAGCTATGTATCTCAACCTTATATCAGATGGATAAATTTGATTGATTTCATATGTTTTGATCATATGCCCATATCTTGTATGAATGTTGCTATATGATAACTACATAAACTGATATATTCTTTATTATGAAGTATATGTATCAATATACTTAAAAGTTGCTGCTGTTCATTAAGGATTTCTTTCAAATTTGGTCATCTTAACATGACCCACCAACTACATACATTAGTATTTGTTATGTTAATGAAATCCAAACCTCAAGTAATATGACAACAAATGACAGAGATATAATTTTGTGCATCATATGGAGAAACTTTCAAAAAATTAAACATAATATCAGTTGGAGATACATAAATCTTAAACATAAACTATGAAATTGAATAGAAATTATAGAACCAAATCCAAAATAACAAAAGCAATAAACAACAAAAAATCACATTATTGTGTTCAAAACTTACAATAACTTAACATATAAAAAAGGTGAAGGTAAACTATTTCTCCTTCTTGATATCCTTAAGTATCTTGGTTGAGGAAAGTTGGACACTATCAATATCTTCTACTGCATCAGTTAAAGTTCTCTTAGACGAATTCAGGCTTGAATTTTCAACCACATAGTCATAATCTGCAGATGCAGATAAAGGTTCATGCTATGATCATGGAGAAATAATTATCATCCTTAGAATATAGGAAGAGATATGTTTTATAAAATGTGGTCAGGTTTGAAGTAATAACTTAGAGAAATACTAATCGATTCATCTTGTGACGAAGGATCTGGTGCTAGAAGCTTTGAAGTAGGCTACCAATACTGATTAATATTAGACTAAATTTGCAAATAGTGTTATAGAATTAAGAAGTACACTAAGATTACCTCTTATGATCTGAAACTCTCCCTAACTTTCTTACGGTTATCGTCATCAATTTTCAAGCTAATGACAGAAAGTCACCCATTATTAGGTTGAAAAACAACTCTAATAGCCAACTCCTTTTTTAGTAGCGCATCAAGTTCATAAGAGAATTCAAGCGGATTATCTTCACCGGCCTACATCAATACAAAGAACTGTTTTAAAAACTTTGTCTAAAAAGCACAAACTTAATAAAGTGGCATTTTGTACCTCTATCAACTCAATTTTCATTTGAAGTGAGAACTTTCCAATCAACTTTACACAATCTCCGTCCCAAAAAATGAACCTGAACTTGATTTTACCATCAACAGATAAAACTTCGAGTTTATACCTATATCATTAGTGATAAAATCAGAAGTGTGTCTACTCATGTATGTAATGCCACCAAATAGAAAATACCTTGAACTCTAAAGCCCAATATACACAATACCTTGGCATCGACTCTGGACTTATGTGTTTAGCATAACAAATCAGCTTTCCATCCTTTAGAGACACACTCTTTGTCCAATCAACACATCTATCATAATACCATCCTGACTGGCCAGCCTCAAATTTCTCCAAAGTTGCAACAATAACACAGGTAGTCTCCTAAGGAATTAGCGAAAGTTACATTTGTTAAACATGTCACATATTCATAATGTGTATATATATATATATATATATATATATATATATATATATATATATATATATATATATATATATATATATATATATATATATATATATATATATATATATATATATATATATATATATTGTCTTACATGTTTCAGACTTGTTATTTCAGCAAGACTCAATATTTTAGCCTTCCACACAAACTTATCAAACTAAGAATAATATATGAGAATTGTAATACGTCAACTTGCAGACTTGAAGAAGATAAGAATGGGAATTCACCTTTTAGACTGATTTAATTAGAAGACAAATTTTAATAATCATATTTGGCACGAATGCGTTAACCAAACCAAATACAACAACATTATCATTAAAATGATTTCACCATATACCTTTCTTTGAGCTTGCTAACTTCATCAATGCTAACATCATAAATCAACAACTCTGTGCCGTTCCAAGCATTTGATATGTTCAAAGGAAAACCTCCTACAATTTTCATGATTTTTAGATTAATCTGATGTAAAGAACATAATAATAAGAACTCATGTATTTTGATTTTGGTCTCATATTAAGTATAATAAAAATGAAACAGTATTACCTTAAGCCTCCTTAATCATTGCATTAATCAACAGAACAACTATATTGCCATCTTCCTTATGACTCATATAATATTTGTAATGTTGTACGACAAGTTAACCCCACAAAGTACATTGTACTCCAGATTTGTTGTTTTTCAAAAGAATTTGAACCAAATTAATATGTTATTCTCAGAGATTTGTGAATGTAATATTATGGTCTACAATATTATAACCGTTCAAGGATATGTTGTTGTAACTAGTTTTAAAATAAGAGTCGTCACCCTTAATTTTTATCCTAAGGAAGGGAATATAAAGGATAACCCTAAAAAGGTAGAGACTCTAGGTTTTTGACTTGACTCTAGATGAAGGGAAGGTGTTAGGAACCCTTCATCTACCTAGTTCACAAGAATACTAGGTTTAGAAGCGTAATTTTTAGGAAGAAGGGTTTTAATATTTTATAGGGGAAGTCGCCACGATTTTAATTGTATGCCTACGTATCCTCTTAGGAGGAATCAATGTCCCAATTCGTAGTTTGCAATTGGTTTGTGTTTTTTATGGATTACAAAGATATTTAAATTTCCCGCATACTTAGTCTAGGTGTGTGAATAACAGAGATATTTAGACAAAACGCACATTTAATTAAAATGTGTTTCGTAATCCTTTTCAAAAATTAATTGTTGAATTAATTTAGTTATGAAAAATAATTTGTTGTTGGTTGAATATTTTTTTATGTGTTAATCGTAAAAAACATCTTTATTTAAATGCATGATTAAAAATATTTTTATGCAATGAAAATAAATAATATTTTGGATGAATTTAGAAAATAATATTCATGTGATTTAATAATAATAATAATTAATATGATATTATAATTATAAAAAGAAAATATAAAATATAAAATATAAAAATAATAAAGAAAATTAAATAAAATGTAAGGGGGTGCAAATAATACTAGGCTAGTAAAAATGGGGAGGTGCAGATATTAGGGCCTTGAATTCAGATATTGAATTCAGGCCCAATAAGACAAGGAGGTACATTTTTTAGTGCGTTAGTAAAACTGAGGGGCGTGTAAAGCATCAATTAATCATCAAGTTAAGTTAGAGATTACCTTCCGATGCCTTAAATTTCTTTGTTTTGGTTCTCTTTCTAAACTCTCTCTTTTCGATTCGCAGATAGAAGCCGGTGATGATGATGGTGGAAGCGATTTAATGGTTGCGGCAACACGACGACTGGATCTAGGGTTTCAGATGTTGAAACCCTAGGCGGCGGTGAACAGGGATTACAACGGTGAGGCTTCTCTGTTCTTCTTCTGTTACAAATTTTCCTCCTTCTAATAACTTTCTTCTTTGTAATTCTTTCCTCTCCGATTTTTTTTGTTGGTCGTCTTTTCTGTATTAGTCTTTAGGTTTTATAGTGTTTTTAGGTTAGTATAGATTTAGGAAAAATTTTAATGTGTCTGTAATGTTGTATATGATTTTAATTTTGTATTGATTATGAACTTGATCTTGTCTGTAAATCTGTGATATCCTTGATTAGTTTATATATTAATATTAATCTTGTTTTAACATTTTAGTAGGTTTTGATTATGTGCATGAACCTAGTTTTTGTTTTGGTACGATATTGTTTCTGGAAAGTTAATACACAAATTTGCTTATGTTTTTATTATTTGATTCAAACAGTGATTGTTAGTCCCAACACATGCGTTTCTAGCTCTTGACGATTTGTACATTACGTGTTTTTGTAATAAAAAGTGTATTATTTCTCATAATTTAAACAATGGTTGTTTTTCTCTTAGAAACTGGGCCACACATTCTTTTTTATTTTGGGCTTAGACTTGGGCCTTGAAAGGGTTTGGAAATGGGCCGTGGAAGAAAAAACCTCTTCATTAACACTTTTATTTTAATTAATAAAACAAAAATCATTTTTAATTAAGTTTATAATATAATATTTTAATTATAATTAATATTAGTATAATCAATAATAGTAATTATAATAGTAATGTTGATAATAATAATAATGTTATAATTAAAACAAAACATATTTTTCAAAACAAACTCAAAAAAATGAATTGGGCCATACTGTTTTTTTAATATTGGGCTTTAACAAAAATGTGACCTTAAATGGGCCTTCCTGATTTAAATATCAGGCTTTAAATAAAATGGTTTGTTTTATACACCCTTCAACCTAAATGGGAGCAGGCCTTAACACTCTTAGTGGGCCGGTAAAAATTAATTACTACACCCCCCTTAAATAACACCCCTTTCTATTTATTCAACAAAATATGCTTAACTTTACATGGGTCTTTATGATTTAAAAAGGACCAAGAGTTTCTTAAATAGTGTGAACCTTCTTCAAGGTTTGAAAATGGGCTGAAACCAAAACAAAGATCCTATTCAAAAAAGCGATGGGCTTTGGGCCTTCTTTTTCTGATTTAGAAAAAGAAACCGTTAAACCCCCTTTGAAGAACTAAACCCCCATGAATTTGAATAATAATTTAAAAAATAGAAATAAAAATATTAGGAGTTAGTAGGACAAATTGGGGTATGACATATGCCCCTACTTAATTTCCTTTCGATTGAATAGTGCAAGAATACGCAGGTCTCGTATGTTCTGATCGAAAGTTTATTAAATATTGGAAGACCCCAAGATTTATCTGAAAGATTACAAGGATACGCTGTACAACGTTCCCATGGGTATGAAGAGTAAGCATATATGATGATGTATCATCTAATTCACGTTTAAACCAAAGTTTATTTGACTTAGAAATGACGATGTAGATAACTCATCAATATCTAAGAAGAGATCGTTTGCATATTTATTGTAATCTAGGAGGTAAATGATACAAGTTTAAAAAGTTGACTTACTAATGCTTGGAGACTAACATAGCAAGTTTTGATTTGATTTGATTTTGTCTATTCATCACAACCTAGGGGATGAATAAAACAAATTCTGATAACACATTGTTACATGGAGACTGATGCAATGGATTATACAGATTTATTCGCACATCTATCACAATCTAGGGGATGTGTATTTGAAAAATCTTGATAATAACATTGCTGCATAGAGACTAACGCAATGAGTTATATTGTAGATTCTGCACATTGTTGCATGGAGCCTGATGTAAGGAGCTATATCACAGAGGAGAAAACACATTGTTGAATAGAGACTGACACAATGAGTTATATCACAGATTTCATACATTGTTGCATGGAGCATGACGCAAGGAGTTATATTGCACCGGAGAAAACACATTGTTGCATGGAGACTGATGCAATGAGTTATATTGAAAATTTCACACATTATTGCATGAAGCGTGACACAATGAACTATATTGTAGAAAAAGTTGTTTTTTTATGATCAAATCTTAGATAACTAAATCAGAGATGAGATATGATTCTTTTACTGGTTGTGTCTGTTCACAACCAAGGTAATTCTTTACCATAAAAATGTTAGGTTTGGAGGTTGAAACCGAAGTTTTGTTGATGATGTCGGTTGTGACTGTCCTCAACTAAGACTATCATCATGAAGAAATAAATCCTGAATGTTTGTTATATGTACATGCACCAAATGTTATGAATGACCTTGATACTTTGATATGGTTATGTGTATGTCATTCTTGATGTGAGGCTCTTAGTGGGAAATCTACTGCGAGATTTCCAAGGAATCTATTGTCGAGATTCGATTGTGAATTACCTTCTACCGAGGTCTTCTGGATAATCATCTGCCAAGATCAACCAGGAGAATATACTACCAAGATTCGATTGAGAACTACATTCTGCCGAGGTCTCTTGGAAAATCGTATGCCGAGATTAACTGGGGGAATCTACTGCCGACATTAAATGTATAATTACCTTCTACCGAGGTCTTCTGGATAATAAACTATCGAGATTAACCAGGGAAATCTACTATCGAGATTCCCTGTAGAATTACCTTCTGTCGAGGTCTTCTGGATAATCAACTTCTGAGATTAACCAGGGGAATCTACTGTCAAGATTCAACGTATAATTACCTTCTACCTAGTGAAGCTACCGGCAAAAAACACAGAGCCGTCACTGAGCTTTATTTATCCCGAAGGAAGGGGAAATATCGAGAAAACTATAAGAGGATGGATAAGATGGTCTTGCGACCAAGAGAGAGGGTAAGGAAGTCAATTATGCAAGGGGAAGGTATTAGCACCCCTCGCATCTGTTATACTCAACGGGATCCATTTTGTTTGTTTGTTTCTAAGGGTGTGCTTATCTATAACTTATAATTGCTAAGGGGAAAGAAATGGTTTTTTATTAGTGCGTCCGTGAGGGTCTCGTAACCCTTTGCCTACGTATCCAGTGAAGGAATCAGAACACTGTAGTTCTTCTAGAAAATGTTGGTTTGTTGGTGTTTTTTTAGTGGGCGATGTTAACGCACACATTCTAGCAATAGGCACGACCTGTATCGCGGTAGAACGAAGATAACATGCCCATTTGGGGAAGTTTTGATTGGTTGAGTATTCTGCGAGTTTTTAAAATGAATTTAAATAATGGTTAAATGTTTTTGGATTTTTGATTTGTGAATGAGAAGTTTTAATTAATTAAAAAATCTAGAGGGGGAAGTCTACCTTAATATTATTATGTACTTGATGGGCTAAAAGTCTACCTCAACATAAGACGATCAAAAAGGGATTTAATCTCCTCAAGGAGTTACCTAAGTGAGTATGGTATCAAGATTTGAACAAGCAAACGAATAAAGAAAATTTAAATTCAAAATATTTTTTATGGTTTTTATCAAGTTAAATAAATAATGAATTCAAAGGTAAATTAAAACCTACTTCTAAAATATTCTAATATTTTTGTGATTTTTTAAGTAAATAAAATATTAAAATAAAATTAAAATCTAATTCTAAAAGTATTTTAATATTTTTTTTTGGATATTTAGTAAAAAAAATATTAAAAGAAAATTAAAATCTAATTCTAAAAATATTTTTGTTATTTTTATTATGAAAAATAAAATAAAACCAAGAAACTAATATAAAATAATTAAAACAAGATATATATAAAACAATAGGAATAAAGAAAACAACAAATGGGGGTATACTGTAAATTCTTGCTAATGGGCTGGAAAGAGAGAAATTAGTTGGGCTGCCTAAGCCCAATAGAAACAAAAATCAAAACAATTAAAAAAATGGGGATGGAGAATAAAGTAAGAAATTGTTTTGGTGTGTGTTGAACCCAGGACCATCCGTTTGCACATACAAAACTTTGACCGCTGCACCGCTTCACCTCATTCGTCTATCATGCTACTCAAAATCTATAAGACCCAAAACTTAAAGAATGGGTAGAATGGGTTGGGCTAGGCCCAAACCCGGATCCATCTAAAAGAGAATAGAGAGGGATTTTGGCAAACCCTAATTTGAAAGGGTTTGTCGCGGATGTGCTTTGGGAGGGGGAATGTCATAATTAATTCTTTTTATTCCCAACTAATTATCCATAAAACTCTTATTAATTCAAGACAAAAACATCAATTCACGATCTCTCTTTATCCCTATGTTCCAATTTTCTTTTCCATCTCTTTCACTCACATTTCTATAATCGAGCTTTCTCTGCAACTAAATTATCCTCATCATCACTGCAACACCCCTTCAATCTTCATCGCATCATTGTTATCGTCATCATCATCTTTACAAGAACACAGTAACGCTCAACAACATTGCAACAACAACAACAATGCTTCTTTGTATCTTGAATCATTGCACCAATTCATATCATTACACATCACAATCCACAAGAGCAACAATGGAATAATACAAAAAAGGCAGAAGAAAACACGAAAGACGAAGAGGATTCAGAATCACATATAGAAGAGGAAGAATGAACCTAAATCTGAAGATGTTTTCTCTAGCTTTCTCATTTGGCGTCGCGGTTGAAGAACCAACAGAGTTTTCCGGTAGGTAAGCCTTAAGCTCCTTTATCAATTCCGTATGTCTATGGCATGTGTGTTGTTATTACTTTAGTTGAATTGATTTTGAGATGAGATGAGACTTATGCACAGAGTTGTGCTGAAATGTTGGTGCAGGTGGTTGAAAAATGTTTGAAGCTCCAACAATTGTGTTTACGGGAACTCTGAACGAAGGTTTATTTTGGAGGGTTTGGTTATAATATGCCGCTCATGGTGTTGGATGAAGATAGTATGAAAGTTGTTGAATATGTGATGAATATTTAGACTGAATTTGAAGGATTAAATGGGCAGAAGTTTGGAAGTGGAGGATACGAGGGTTTGAGTTGAGTGTGTTGCAGGTTGAGGGGGTTCTGTAGAATTTTGAGCAAAGTTTTGGGATATGTTTCAGAGTAACTTATGCAGAATTCCTTTGTAGTATTTGTGTATCTCTGTCACGTGCTCTCTTCTCTATTTTTTCAGTGTTTCTCCCCCCTCCTCTTCTCTTGGTCCTAAGCAGTTTTTATTGGTGAATGAAGTGAGGTTTTGGGGGGGAAATCAGATATGTTTTGAATAATTTTGTAAGCTGATTTGTTGCTTTCTTGATACAGGTTAGGTTTAGCCTATTTGTGTGCAAGGTTTTGCAATACTTGGATTGTTCTAGACAACAGGTTTGTGCATCAGTTTTGTGGACAGTTTTATGCAGGGTTGCAGCAAATTTTTTTTGGACTGTTTTGTTTGTTTTGCAATGTGATGCAGGTTTATGGAGTTGTATTGCATAATGGAAAGCATGGTTGGGTTTTGCAGTTGGCTTGGTTTTGCAGTAGTCTTGGACTTGGTAGGCTTTACCTTAGCAGCTGGTTTGGTTTTCGCAGGAGGCTTGGGTTTAAACAACAATGTTATTTGCTTGGATTTTGGACCTTTTAGCATGATGTAGCATGACTTTGGAGTATGAAGTTTAAGCATAGGCCTAGAAGATTAGAAACAAATTAGCATGGACTTATGATTTCTTATGTAACTCCTTCAATCTCTTTTATAATTATTTGGAAGAATTTGCTTTAGGCATAAGAACTTGAGATATATTTTCCTTTTGTTGTAACTTGAAAATTTTGTAGACACTCGAAGTATCTTGAATTGAAATGCGACTAAGAAAAAGTCTTGCACTTTGTTCTTGTAACTTTTAAGAATTAATGTTGATGTTTCTCATGGAACTTGAATTCTTGAATAGATGTAAGAACTCTCATGTTGAAAAGTCTTGGATTTGAATAATGATATGCTTGAAAATAGACGAATAACAACAAACTTTGAATTAGGTTTGTCAACTTGATTTGGTTCATGAGAATTGTAATTTAGAGAACCCATGAATCAAAGCACAATTTTATCATGTTGAAATCTAATGAGGCTCGAATATTGGAAGCTTGAATGAATTTGAGAAAATTTAAGTGAACTTGTCTTTGATACCTCGAATTCAAAATAATTCACGTGAATGAACCATAAAGAATTTGGACGAAACTTGTGATATTGCGTAATTCTTTACTAACTTGAATTGAAATCAAATAAATTAATCAAAATAATCCTCAAATCATTTTCACCAAAATCCTAAATCAATTTCCAACATGATGACTTATATTATAAGCAACATCTTGTTCGAACTCAACATGAATCTCCGAGCTCAACATCTTGTTCCATGAATGATATCAACATGAGAATCATAGTCCTGAGAAAACAATTATGGCATGAGTTAAAATTAGAAGTTAAGAACATTCTAAATCAAGAAAATAACCTATGACGATTCGATAACTTTCAAGGTCTTTTAAACATAGTTTTCCCTCAATCCCCGCAGTAAACCTGTAGATGACATCCTTCGTGACAGTGTACAAAAAGAATAGACTCGAAATTTCAAGAATCGAAGAAGTTATGACCCTTGGAAGTTGGGCACAACCATTTTGAGATTAGGTCAAATTCTACAATATAACCTCTAAAGTATTCGAACTTTTGATGATCCTCCGCACATAACCAGTTCTTGACTTGTAAAGAGAAGTTGGAGATGACGTAAATGAGAGTCATGCGCCAAAAGAACCACTCAAAAATATTGAAAAATGAAGAAGTTACAATTGTTTGAACTTGATCTTGAAAATGTTGACTTTGGTCAAAGTGCTTTGGACTGACTTGCAAATCTGATATTCTCTTGCATTCCAAAGCATATTAATGCCCTTATGAACTAGTGATGATGAAGTCTTGACTGTGCTCTTGAGATTATAGGCCAATATTTCATGAAATAGCTCCTAAGAATAAATAATTAGCCACACTGAACACTTGAAAGGTTCAAACCCTAGCTGAGGCATGATGTTAACAAACCCTGATTTTTAATCACACAGGGGAAATAAACCCTAATCTAAGATCTTGATGAATTTGAATGAGAAACAACCTCCATAGATTGAGGAGAAGAAGTCCTTGATAACCATATTTCCAAAACCCTTATTCACATAGTCCACTGCTCAAGAGAAGAACCTGCCTTTATCTGATGAAGAAAACTCAAACCAAAGTGAAGCCCTAATTAGCACAACCACTGATGCTTTGAATCATTGCCTTATTGAAATGCGAGAATGATGTGTGATTGACCTAATGATAATGATGAAAATGAAATGCAAATCCTAAGCTAGATAAAATTGAAAAAGGTAGGACAAATTTGGGGTATGACAACTGCCCCTATTTAATCGTCTTAAACCTGAAAGTGAGATTGGCGGAAGCCTTTCGATCATTTAAGGTAGAAGAAGATTAAATACCAAGACTTGAAATTTGTCCTGGAGAGATGGTGTGAGTCTTATTTATTTTTGATGTTTGTTGGGGATGAAAAATTAATTTTATGGTGAACTGATCATGATGGGTAAATGTGGTTGAATAATGATAGCTTGTACTGGGATAACAGTGCCAATACAAGGTTCTCGGGGAAGTGGGTGTTAAAGTGATTGGAAATATATGGTTGGTGATATCATGGTGACTGAAAGTATGATTAATGACAACATGATAACTCAGAGGCGATGGGTAGAACTCGACGACAACAGATAATCTATCGTGTAGGATTCACGACCCAAAAAGAAAGGTAAAGACAAAGGGTGAAGACCGGCGTATGATCTATGACCCATGATAAAGGTAAAGATGACGGATAAAATCCATGGATGACCTATGACCCAAGAGAAGTTAACACGAGGGTAAGATCTATGGATGACCTACGAGCGACCTATGGCCCTAGAAAAGGTAACGTGAGGGTGAGATCTACGAGTGACCTACGACCCTAGAAAAGATAACATGAGGGTAAGATCCATGAACGACCTACGACCCTAGAAAAGATACCGTGAGGGTAAGAACTGTGAGCAACCTACGACCCTAGAAAAGATAACATAAGGGTAAGACCTACAAGCGACCTACGACCCTAGAAAAGACAACGTAATGGTAAGATCTACGGAAAACCTACGACTCTAGGAAAGATGACGTGAGGGTAATATCTACGGACGACCTACGACCCTGGAAAAGATAACTAGAGGGTAAGATCTATGGACGACCTACGACCCAGGAAAAGATAACGTGAGGGTAAGATTTATGGATGACCTACGACCCAATATAAGATAACGTGAGGGTAAGATCTATGGACGGCCTATAACCCTAAAAGGATAACGTGAGGGTAAGATCTACAAATGACTTACAACCCAAGAAAAGATAACACAAGGGTAAGATCTACGGACGACCTACGACCCTGGAAAAGATAACACGAGTATTGAGAGTTGGCGAGTAAAATGTACTGGCACCATGGCTTATTGGTTGGTAGTGTAATGACAGCCATCAACTGGGAATTATGAGGATAATATTCTTTGTGGGGATGTTTTACTGCTTTGAGGATTGATTTGGGGCTTTCGTGCAAGGTGCCAAACTTGGCTTACACTTCAATATGAATTTTGAAGTGTATGGCGTAATGATCCATGGATATGCTATGCGTTTAAGGATGCAATGTAATATGCAGTGATGATTATTGTATGAAAATTTCCAAATATTAGGCTCATTGGGATCCATTTCCCATTGTCTTGAGATTCTAATACTGATTGGTGCTTGAAAACTTAGAGAATTGAGTTATAGCCTTGTCGAGTTCACTGGGTATTAAATCTTGCTAAGGAGGAGTAGCTTGATCTGACTTTCCTCACATGCTGGACTTCTTGTGGATGATTGATTAGGTACATGGATCTCATCAAATTCCCCAAGTTTATCAGTGTTGGAGAATCGGGTGCTCAGTCATCTGTAAGGAGGTGACGAGGATGAAAGCTTGGTCGAGGTGACCGTTATGACTTGCTACCTACATAGAAAAATAACACTTTAGCGCCATGGAATTCCCCTGGGATGCCTTCATGTCCATGTAACGTCGTGTTTCGCGTCTTAGCTTGTGATTTATTATTTCCTTATTGTTTTCAATGCAATACTTAATAAAGAATTTAAATCACCATTCACGTACGAAAAATAAAGTAAAAAGGACATAACAAAGACTTTTTGGTGAAAAGGAATTTTTTTATTAATGAGATTGGCTTGTGAATAGGCATTCGTACATGGAAAAAACTCCTAAATGAGGAAAGTACGAAGAAAAGATAAGATACAACAGGTAAAATGGCAATAAGAAAATCTCAAACTTCTATTAAAATGATATTGATATAGTTCCCATAATCCTGGATCGTCCTAGTGCTGTGCTTCCGAAGGATAATAGTTGAATTGATCCATCTAGTGTTAGGAGGGTGTACTTTTTATTCATGAAGATTTTTCAGACTGCAGTCTCTCACTTTTTGTCCTTAATTTTTTCCTGGATTGCCCTTTCGGGTTTTCAATCCACCGGGACACCCATTTTTGCTTAAGCCGCCCTTTCGGATTTTCGACTTAGCGGGTTATTCTCTTTTTTCTTTTTTTAGCCCTAACTTTAGCCTAAGTTGCCCTTTCGGATTTTTGACTTAGCGGGTCTTTTTATGCGTAGTATTTTTTGACTGAGTCTGAATTGACTAGAAGTGGAACGTCTTCCTCATCCATGTCTGTCAGGATTAGAGCACCTCTTGAGAAAGCTTTCTTCACAATGTACGGCCCCTCATAGTTGGGAGTCCACTTTCCTCTTGGATTGGAGTGAATTGGGAGAATCTTCCTTAAGACCATGTCACTCGTGTGGAACTCTCGAGGTCGAATCTTCTTGCCAAATGCTCTCTTGAGATGTTGTTGATATAATTGACCATTAAAATGACTGCTAGGCGCTTCTCTTTGATGAGATTGAGTTGGTAGAGCCTGGTTTGAATCCATTCAGCTTCATCAAGTTTAGTATCCATCATAACCCTTAATGAAGGAATCTCCACTGCGACTGGGAGCACCGCATCCATACCATAAACTAGTGAAAAAGGAGTTGCCCCAATGGAAGTACACACCGAAGTTTGATAGTCGTGCGGAGCAAAAGGAAACATCTCATGCCAATTTTTGTATGTTCTCACCATTTTCTGTACGATCTTCTTTATGTTCTTGTTAGCTGCTTCGACTGCCCCATTCATCTTAGGCCGATAGGGTAAGGAATTATGGTGCTCAATCTTGAATTCTTCACACATTTCCTTCATCATTTTGTTGTTAAGATTCGACCCGTTATTAGTAATAATCTTGTTAGGAGTTCCATAATGGCATATGATTTCTTTCTTGATGAAGCCGGTGACGACTTGCTTAGTCACATTCTTGTACGAAGCTGCTTCAACCCATTTGGTGAAGTAGTCAATAGCAACGAGAATGAACCTGTTTCCATTTGAAGCACTCGGCTCGATCCATCCAATCATATCAATGCCCCACATTGCAAAGAGCCATGGTGAAGTCATCACATTCAAAGGAGTGGAAGGAATATATATATTGTCTGTGTAAACTTGACATTTATGACAC